ACACACACACACACACACACACACACACACCCGAGCGAATGGAAACCTGAACACTTAGCTGCACAGATACACAGCAGGATACATTAGGTCTTTAGAAAATAAATGGCACGCTGAGGAGGAAACAGCAGAAGAGATAGAATAGTCACACACACACACACACACACACACACACACACACACACCAGTGGCAGCTGTTATCTGTGTGGCAATGCGTTGGCAGTGCTGCAACCTTCTCCCTGCTCCCTCTTGAAAGGTCAGAGCAGCCAATCAGCACGCAGTCACACCAATAAATTGACTTTAATCTATTCAGCCAATCAAGAGGCGGATGGATGAATAAATTATCTGTTATCGCCCAATCAGGGAACAATAGACGCAGGAAGCTGTCTGTTATTCAGACACAGACACACACAGAGCTGAATGTTTGGGAGAAAGTTGACCTGTTTCCTGCTGACCGTCATTAATTCCCTTTATCAAAGACTCGAGAGTGTGCGTGTTTTCTCCTGTGCTATCAGCTGGAAGAAATGTCAGCGCGCACACACACACACACACACACACACACACACACACTGTCTCTTAAGTAGGCCAGAACTTCTCAGTTTGACCTCTCACCTTCATCCAGCTGTGAACCCTTCAACACTTCACAGCCTATCTGACAGACAGGAATGTGATGTGACGTGTGTGTTGAGAAGTTTCAGGTCCGTCCACGTCTGCTCAGACTCAAACTTTCTTTACTGCTGGCCCCTAAACGTGTTTGTTTCTGCTGTGACGTTTAACACAGGTAGTCTGACTGCTGGAGCCCCCGGTGGACACGAGAGGAGCTGCAGCTGTTATCACCTATGAACCTGAGCCTGTTACCACACGAATGATCATCACTGATCCATTCATTCCAACTGATTTGAATGCCGCTGTGATTCTGCACGTAATCTATCTAAATGTAATCAGATTACTTACCTTGGTGACAGACTGAGGGACACTTGTGGTTCCGACAGCCCAGGGTTCGGCCGCAGCTTTGGTCGCAGGGGGGACAGTTACCGGGGCAACACTGAAACACAAAGCATCGTGGGAAACAGGTTTATCTCTGAGGCACTTCTTCTTCTACTTCTTTAATACAGGCGACCGCAGCTCGTCCTGCTCTGCTGTTTGGCGCCAAAATCATCAAACATGTGCAACAGACGTCATCGCGTCGTGTTATTTCACACAGCTACGAGTAACTCTGTTCACACAGGACTAGCAGAGGTGGAGGGCGGATGCAGGCTCGTCTGGGTTTTGCACCCTAAAGGTCATCTCACGAGAGAAAGCGCCGGCCCCCGCCACCCTGCAGCCTCCGTCAGGTGATAAGGAGCTTTTATTATGGAAATGGAACTTCCTGTGATTTAATGTATCAAAGGTCGTATGAGCTCCGCCCCCAAATGTTCCAGATTAATAACAGTTATATTAATCAGCCGACTACTTTGTACTTGCTGTCTACACTCTGTTAGTCATGAAGCGTGTGGACTCAGTGTTTATTTGATCAGGTTAACGTCACGGTCGCTCCTCTGCAGGGAGCCGGGACTTTAAGAACCGGCCGTTTCGAGCTCTGCACATTGAAGAAGCTGCAGGTTTCTGACTCCCTCGGTGAGCTCAGATGTAACTGGGACTCCCATGTAGCTGGACTGGAGTTTGGCACAATCCATTTTTCCAGCTTTAAAATCCTGTAAATGTCACGTCTCCACTGAGAAAGAGATTTTCACGCTGACGTTATAAACACTGCTGGGTCAGACGGAGTAGAGGGGTCTCAGGTGGCAGACACCAGCTGCTGCCAACCATCTTCCACAGCTTCATAAACATCTCTTACTTCTACGAACACGCTGTTGAACTACACAAAGAGCGACTGTGGGCTTTCAGAGCGGGGCTCACTGCTGAGAAGCAAACAGATGAAGTAGATTTATGAGATAAAACGAGGAGTTTGATGGGAAAATGAAAGCTAACGAGACCGTTTTATAAAAGAGCAGGTGCAATAACATTTACGGTGCCAGAATAAAAAGGAAAATCTGCAGCTGTTTGGGCTTCATTAAGTATTTAAATGCTGTTGGTGCCAAACAACAGGCTGAGCCACAGGATGAGACAGCGAACATTAAAATGACTGAAAGCGCCCATTTACATCTGAGCAGGTGGAGACGTCCCCGTTGGCCCCACGGGTCTGACAGCGGGCGGATTATTAAACCTCATCATGTCACATGTCAGACGTGGCGTCAGACAACCTTTTCCTATCAGATTAAACTGATCCGATGCCATCAGGGTGACATTTACGCCACAAAAACGAGACATCGTTGCCGTCACGATCAAAGCGAGACACCGGGACGAAAGCGTGGGGTTCCCTCTGCGAGTGGGTCCTTCAGTCACTGCTCAGACGTTTCATCAGTCCTGCGTTGAGCTCGCCTTCGCTCTCTCCGAGACCTTTAATCCACCAGAGAAGAGGAAGGCGGAGGTATGAAGGGTCTTATGTGTGTCGTTATGCAACCAGCCTCCCCGCAGCTGATGGAAAATCATTTCTTTAACACCGAGAAGATAACAACTCCAGAGGCTCCAGATGTTTCACTGCAGGAACCATCAGAGGATTTGGTGGAACATTAATGTGATCACACTCAGAGTGGAACAAATCTGAGACACTACACACTGAGTGGGCGATCCACACACACACACACGTCCTCTGGGTCTAACTGTTCCTGCCTGCTGCATCACCTCCTCACTATTCTGATTCCCACCTGTGCAGACTCAGTTTGTACCCTAGAGGCCATGTGTAGGAGTTTTACTGGTGACGTGATGATTTCTTTGTGCAGTTCTGCTTGTTTTGTGGTATAAATCAAGTGTACCTGCTTTCTTTATCGCCGTGCTGTTTCACTGCTTCATAAAAACTCAAATTCGCTGAGTTCAGTTGATCTGGAGCCAAGATGAAAGCTCCAAGGCTCAGCTTCCCACATACGGATTAAATCCAGGACCACAAACCTTAAAGAAAGTTTTATTTTATCCTGGGAGTCGATCCAGTCGTGTGTGGGAACCTGCTGAAGGGTTTCTGTAGGTGAACCAGGAGGATTACTAACAGTGTGCAGTGGCTGCAGCTCTGTCTCCCTCTGCTGGTTACTGTGCCGCTCTGCTCACCTTCATTTGAATGGTTTCATCCACATTAATGACTAAAATAATCCTGATTATCTTTTTTTTCAATAATCTAGAAGCCCAGACTTCACAAATGTGATGCTAACCAGTGAGAGCTGAAACAGGTGAAGCATCTCCTGCAGCCAGGTGTGAGTTCGTGCAGACTGATAGTTTCTAATGAGAACGTGGACTGACTGACCTTCCTCCTGCACTGGTGTCTCTGACAGTTCCTGGTTTTGGGACACTTGGAGTCACACAGGTATTCTTTATGACACGGCATCTGCTTCCTGTATCGCCCACACCTGCACTCCTTCTCCACCTCCTGCAGAGACACAGAGCAGGGCTCAGCGTGTGTGTGTGTGTGTGATCAGTGTGTGTGAGATCGGTGTGCAGACCTGTCTGCAGGTTTCGCAGCTCCCTCGGTGACACCTCATTGAACAGGTGTGCTTCAAACATGCCAGACGGCGATCGCACGTGTCGCCGCATGGCTGCACTTCCTCTGTACACGGCAGAGACGACTCTACACACACACACACACACACACACACACACACACACTCAGAAAACAGTAGCATGGAGTGGAAACCTGTGTGTGTTTGCGTGAGCACTCACTGGTCTTTCCGCATGGACACGTCCTGCTGATGGAGCGAGGACATGGAGGACAGTCGCCATCGCAGCACACCTCCTCACAGGTGTGGTTCCCACAGGAGAGCGGAGCGCCGCACACCTGCGACAGACAGACAGAGTGAGAGGAGGCGGGGCTTCCTGCTCTCAGAATAAAACTAAACACATCAGACGAACCACACGGGGCCGTTTCCACAGCTTTAATGACTCGTGTTACACTTTCTGACCCAGCGAGCAAAGACCACACAGAACATCTCGTCTGGAACATCTGCAGATTCTGGCAATAAACAATCACAAATCCAGCTGTGCGCTGCTGCTGACACACTGCAAACACACCTGCTGGCAGGTCCAGCGGGGGCTGGCGCAGGGCCTCTCTGCCTTCTCTCTGCCGCACACACACTTCTGAACGCTGACTCTGGGACAGGGCGCGCACTCTGACACACACAGGAGAGGGGGGGCTTTCAGGCGGGCATTTTGGACAGCTCACTCGGGACTGTGTTGAGTCACAGTGAAGCTTCACACATGACTCTGTGTGTGTGTGAGAGACTGTGTGTGTGTACCTGTGTGACACGGCTGTGAACACTTGTGCTGTTTGCAGAGCAACAACTTTCCACACGGCTGCTGACACGACCAGGCCTGCAGAGAGAACACACAGTGAGCATGTCACCAACACCCACAGCACGCTGTAAACCTGCAGACCGCGAGGCTCACCTTGTTGCTACAGCGACGGGGGAGGGGCTGTGCTTTGCCACACAGACAAGACACCGACACCATCTTTGGACATGGAGGGCAGGGGCCTGAAACACACAGCTTTAGGAACATGTCCACGCTCCCAGCTCAGAGCAGTTTGTGTGATGTGTTTACTGAGGATGCAAAACTGTAAACCTGCTCGTCCTCTGGGGACAAGGCCCAGTTTTTAAGGATTTCCAGGACAACTCCATTTATCCTGTGTTGTTGTGTGTGTGTGTGTGTGTGTGAGTGTGTGTCGTGTGTGTGTCTGTGGCTGTGTGTGGCTTAGCTGTTTGTGTGTGTGTGTGTGTGTGTGTGTGTGGGGTTACCGGGGTGACAGAGCAGCAGGCAGGTGTGTCCACAGGCAGGTTTGAGCTCCTTCTGACAGATGGAGCCGCACGAGTGAGGAACCAGCCACGGATCAGCTGGAGGATCCTGAAGCTTCCCACAGTAACACGTGTACCTGAACACACCACAAAAAAGCTTTTAAACTCTGAAGTTTACAGCCAGCATTTATTTTTTTAATTCAGCGCCTTCAACACACCGACCTGTACCATGTGATGTGTTTAAAACTTTCCACAGTCTGATTAGTGATTATTTACTGAGATAAAAGATTAAGGACAGAAAATCCTCAGCTGGGAAGAACCCAGTCAGCAGAGACACAAAGAGACACAGGTGAGACATGCTTAAACTTTTAAAGTGACTGAAACTAAACTGAAAACCTAAATTCAAAAGACAATAAAATTAATTCATGACAAATAATTACAAAAAAACTATATGTAATATAAATTAAGCATTTCTAACAGTAAATACTGAGCTTGAAGCACAAACAGCATGAAACTACAGTAAGTGTGGGGTGTGGCTCCCCCTGCTGGAGAGCAGCAGCAGCACAGCCGCATTGTGTGAAGCTGGTCAGCGTTCACATGAGATACAACAAAGTGATGTACATTTGCTCTTTCTCTCCAACCTATGGGGCGATAAACACTGCAGCAGGTGGCAAGTTACAGACACTTCACTCGTCAGAGCTCACGTCCAAATAACTTCCCACAACTGGAGCTCAGACTCCTAGATGGCCCGTTGTTATAATTAACAACACATTACAAAAAGCTCCAAAAGGCACCAACAGCACGAACAACAGCAGCCACCTGTCAGTCAAAGAGGCCACGCCCCCAACAACAACAACCTCCAGCCTTAATATAGTTTAAGTCTGTGTTCATATTCTTGGAGCCTGTTAGGAGTCGGTGGGGCAAGCTCTCACTAATACTTTCAATAAAACAACATTTCACATTTATATTTAACACATTTGAGTCAAAATATCAAATATCTGTACTTTAGCCATATTTGCTTCAGCCTGTGGGGATGAAACGTGAACTCAAGCACTCACTCTCCACAGGCTGACGTGTTACAATATCCAACTTTACAGCCAGGAAAGCTGTTCATACCCTCTTTATAACAGCTGTACAGCCGAAACAACCAGCAGAAGCTTCACAGTGTTTGTGGAGTTCCACAGGGCTCTATTATTGGTCCTCTACTTTTTTTAAAAACTCACCTCTTTAAATTGTATTAAGGCTTAAAGTTTGCATTATTATTGGTGTGCCTTCTTTTAATGACACAGGCAGCTATAGCTGTTAGGTAACTGGAGCCCATGATTTGAACCTTTGCACTGTGTTTGTGCTGTTTTAATGCAATTATCTGACCACATTATCGCTTAATGTTTGTTTTTAATGCTACTTGATTATGTTACTGTTAAAGTGAATTTGATGATAATGCAGATGTAGATTTGCAGAGTGGATTTAGCACTGAGCGTGGCCTGTGGTAACTCTAAAGGGCGGGTCGATAAAACTGGGCACACAGGATAAAGAAATCAAACGTACCTGTTGGGGGTGGCACTGGGTGGATACTCTGCACGGCACTTTGGACTGAGGGGAGACAATCAGACACATTAACTGATGATTATTTCTTTACAACCGACCAAGCTCAAAGTGAGATTTTTTTATTAACTAACAAATGAAACATTAGAAAACACGACTTCATTATACAGACAAGTTTAGCTAGTAAACAGAAACCACAAAGAGGAAAACCCCAACTATTTCCAACAATCAATTTTAAACACAAATGTAACACAGGACTTTTCTCTGGTTAGACAGCTTTATCAGTGTGATTTTATCAGCTTATCAGTAATTAGTTCCATTTAAAATGATGTAATTGTACTGAAGATTCACCCTCATGCCAAATATTATTTAACCCTCGCCCATGTTTATGGATTTATCACGTTGGGCTATAGTGGTAGTGGAAGGGCTTTTGTTCCTCACCAGGGCCACGGGTGCTGCTTCTGACCAAAGTCTTCATCGGTGACTGAGGAGACGAGGAAGACCGAGTCTTTGGCCCACTTCTGGATACAGGGCAGGTGGAAGAGGGAGAAACAGCTGGAGCAGCTCCACACCTGGACGCACACACCAGATATCAGAGTTCAGTCTAAAGTGGTCTCCCTCTCTGGGCCTTTTAATATTTATAAGACTTTAAAACAAACTGTGTAAAGAGCACATCACATTACAACCAGCCAATCACACAACTTCACAGGTTTGTAGAAATACTGGAAAAAGTCACTACAGCTGAGACTCATGGGTAATGTAGTATTATATACTAGTAGTGGTTGACTAGAGGAGAAGGAAATAAGTGATGAAAGCAAAGAGTCTCCAGGGTCAAAAATAGTTCACTAACTTTTACACAGAGGATGTCTGAGAAATTATCAAAGAAACATCTTGAAGTGACCAAAATGACCCCAGACACCTCTCCAAGATATTTACTTTTTCCAACTACTTACTTAAACCTTTTACATAAATACAATCAAGAAGTAAAAACTAAAGAGAAAAGGACAAGATGGAACAATTCTTTTTAAAAAGCACAAAAACCTGAGAACTGCATGATTACAATGCTTCTGACTGTCTGTGAGATCTGCTTCTATGAATGTGACAAAAGGAGAAAATCGGCCTCAAGCTGTCGTTAAATGTTCTTCAGAAACCAGAGAGGTGACGTCAGATCAGTGAAGCTGAATCAACACAGAGCAGGAGATCAAAGTGTGCGTGTCTCACCGCCTGTGTCCTCTTCACCGAGGCGATGCAGATCAGACAGGTGAGCGCTCCGGACTGAAACAGGTCGCTGACGTACTGACCGGTCCTCTGCAGGCCAGTGGCATCCCCGCCTACACACACACACACACACACACACACACACACAGGGAGTGAGCGGGAATACCACAACATCTGCGCAGCTTCATATCAGGCTCACCTTACTGTCTTCAAACATCTGCACACCCGGTAAAAACACTGGTAAAAAAAATCAATTTAACCAGTTGATCTTCACAGTGGTGTTGCCACGGCAATGCCTGGCTGCTCACCTGTCTGGTCGGTGTAGGTGGTGAAGGCGGACGCCAGGATCTTCCCTCTCTTTCCTTCCTTGTGGTCTCCATCATCAATGCTGTTGTCGTCTTCATCAGAGGAGGAGGAGCTGAAGTGGCTCTCGACCAATCGCTGAGCAGCAGCCTGGTTGGATTTCCTGATCTCCTCAAACTTGGATTGGACAGCCAAACCTGAGGACCACAGGGAAGAATTAATAAACTCACACCAGCCACACAGCCGACAAGGGGAGTTGGTCCATGGAGCGTTTCATCACCATGCGGAGGTTCAGGCGCAGAGCCCGTCTTCGTCCTGACTCCTCTTCCCGTAGTAGCGCCTGGCCTCTCTCTCTCCTTCTGCAGGGGTCGCGACCTTTCAACTTGAGCCTCCTGACTCCGGCCTCGCCCGCGGCCCTGCTGTCGCCAGGCGGGCTCCATGGCAACTGCCTCTTGCCTCTGCAGAGAGCAACATATGTGAGAAATGATTGAAAGAAGGATTCACAGTTTATCAGTTTACCCACAATGCACCTGAGATTTTCTCAGTACTACAACTCAGCCTCCACCAGGATTTACTCTGAGGGTGCAAATACTGGATGGCTTCATCAAATCCTCAAAAGTTATTTTTTGGACACAAACAATGAGCTGGGGCTGAGGTGAGAACTTTTCACTTATCTGCCTGACTTTGTATGGATGCAGCAGCACAAGAGTTTCCTGTGTACCATCAAACACACACCAATACTGCATTTTATCAAGGATACATCAACAAGCTTAGAAAACGAGTAGAAAAACCAATGAAAACACTGCAGCAGTAAAAACAGAAGTTCTGAGAGGTCTCTGGTGTAGACATAGAATGAGAGCATTGATATATGTACAATTTTCAACTATTACAGTACTTTTGGCCTTGCATGCATTTAACCAGTTATCACCTCCCTCAGGAACTTTAAGTGTTCAGCTTTGAGCCCGACGTCTGCAGATGTTGCCACTCATTCATGTTTATCTGTCTCTGCAGCAGCAGCGTGCCTTTGTTAGTGGATTTAATGCTGCAGAGGTGAATTAGCAGATTTTTGGCTGGACCCTGGTTTGCGCATTAGGGCACGTTTCCACGCAGCAGAGGGGTTTTATACGTGATTCAGAGCTGCCTCAGCCTCACCGGAGGCTCTGCGCAGCCTCAGCTTGGTGCTCACAGCTGCCTGACACCTTTACCTGACACCTGGCTGGGTCTTTAGCTGCTACCTGACTACCCCAGCTGTCCCGCTGAGTCACAGCGACACGAAGCCGGACTGTGTCTCTCTCCGCCCGTGCACCTGACCGCTGCACCTGAGCACGTACACCGCAACACGTTTACACCGCGCATGCTCACGTTAAAGGCCAAATTCACTTCAAAAATGCTGCTAGCCGGCTAGCTGCAGCAACCCAACTGCCATTCAAACTCCAAGAAAAACCAGGCGGAAACAAGCGTCACTTCCGGTAAACAACATTCACCAAACTCGAATTATCCACAGAAGCTTCCGGAATGTTAATATTTAACTCCAAAGACAATCAGAAAACCTCATTTAATGAGCAGTTATGAGCTAAACACACCTCAACACTCAGCACAGTGGAGCCAGGTGCCTGATTGTCATGCGTAGTGCAACGCGGTGCATGCCGGTTCTTGTAGTTCTCACAACCAAACGTCGTCTGTTTAGCGATTTATCCAGGAGTAAAACTACATATCCCACAACCTCACACACACGCACACGTGTACGCAAACGCACACACATACGTGTCACTGCACAGCTGCAACTTTACTTTTTGCTTTTTGGTTGTTAATTTATTTCGATCATGTAAACAATATAAAAAGCTCATTTAGGGCCAGGGTCTTAGATCAATAATACAAAAATGTGATCAACAAATAAAACTTTATCGATCCCGTGCTCCGCGGTAGTATTAACATTTCCTACAGTACATTTACCTACGTCAGTTACCATCTGAGCTCATCAACATTTCTATGTACTTTTAATCAACAACAATAATAATAAGGAGGAGAATGCACTGGAAATGAAACAAGCATTCTGATTTTCTTATAAAATATCTTTATTTCAGCTTTTTGTTCCAGATTCAACATAATTATCATTCATATTTTTTGCATAGTTTAAAAAGCACAAGTCGCAGCATAAAAAAGGCGATGGATGTAGAGAGCATTACATGCTTTGAGTCTGGGGTTTATTCAGGTGTGCAGCAGCTAACCACAGACTGTATATGTAAAGATGGATGCAGCTGCCCAGTATGAAAAATGATGCACCTGCATTCTTTCTAATAGCCAGCAGGGGGCAACTCCTATAGCCTGATTGTGTGGCGCCTACTTCCCACTCTGACCTGAGTAAACATGCTCCCAGTGTGTTTATGGGGGGAGCTGATACTTTGAAGTCTTAATGAATAAAAAATATTTATTTAGTAAATGACAGTACTTATTACAGTCAGAAAGGATTATAGTATGCTGTGGTAGAAAACAGCAAAGGCTTCATGTATGACCATTTTTGGTATGTACACATTTAATAATGTTGGGTTTTTCCCTGGGACAAACTGGGCTGATCTTCAAATCATCTGTACCTCACCCCAAATTCACCTTAAAGCTTTAAATTCCTTTCCCGTGTGATAGCCACTGCTTTAGTTGAACTGTAAATGACAAAATATTAGGTGCAATTTAAATCCCATGGCTGTTTTTAAATCATCTCTTAAAAAATGTTTTTGTAATTACAAAATTGAACATTGCAGTTCTTTCAAGGGTCACTGGGAGGCACCGCGTCGCACTTTAGGAGTCACTGCTGCAAAGCAAAAGCTTGAACTATGAACAACCTCTGTAACATCCAGAAAAGTTACTGCTCATTATTTATATACATTACAATGTTTTACAACTTAAACATGGAAACAGTTCTACATGGTGTCACATTAGGTTCTTTTGAGGCCTAGTTGTCCTTCTTGTGCTCTCTGAGTGTAATCTGGAGTCAGCTCCACTTCCAGTTGTAAGTGCTGACATCACAAATCCAGCAGGTGGTCGATACTTTACGAAGAGAAGTTTATCTCTAGAAGATGTCATGTGAAGTGATGTTACATAAATCTGAATGCAAGAAACAGATTTTGTCCTCTTTTTTCCAATTTGTCTTCAAAACTTTAACAGAAACTCCTCCAACTTTCCACCTGAGGTTCAAACATCTTGATCTCCACCCATCGAGCTGACTCAAGCTCTAAAATCGAACACTCCAGTCCTCTTCTTTGTTGTCTTCTCCTTACTTCTCCTCTTATTTGGTTGCCTCTATGTCAGGTGTTGGGGGTGGAGCTTCACCTGACGGATCAGCTTGTGGGGGCACCAACTTCTTCTCCAGCCGGGTGACTCTGTGTTTGAGCTTGCTGTGAGTGGCTTCGTGCTCGGCCAGCAGCCGGGCGTAACGGGTCTGCAGGGAGTCCAGGGTGCTCGTCATCCGGTCCACCTTCTCCTCGATCTCTTTGGGGTCTGGGCCCTGCGCTGCCACCTGGAGGACAGAGTTCGTTTTAATAAAGTTTTTATTTCTGTAGACTAGATGTTTGCTAATGTTTCTAAACGAGATAATGTGACTGTACCTCGAGGTCCAGCAGCCCATCCTTCATTAGAATCTGCCTTCCTTTCTCCTCGAGCAGAGCTTTAGCATCAGGATATTCTGTCAGGGCTTCCATCAGGTCGTCTTTGGAAAGACAGAACAGGTCGGAGTAACCGATGCTTCTGATATTAGCTGTCCTCCTGTTTCCTGCCTTACTGCCTGTTGGAGAAGACGCGAGGCTGATTAGGTAACAGAAGCAGTCAGAAGGAAACAGCGCCCAATCCATCGATAACATTATATGGCATTTTCATTTTTTCCAGTTTTCTGCAGAAACAAACGTACTTTTATTAAATATTAAACCAGCTTTGGCTCAATAGCAAAACCCATTCTAAAGTTTTGTACATATTTGGGAAAATCTTTTTAAACAGTTCGTCCAAAGGTTTTGGTTTTCTAGCATTAGCACATTATCATTCTAGCATTAG